GCAGCTCACACGCTGCAAGGCCCCTCAGGCAGCTGCCCACCTCGCCTTCGCCTTGTATCACCCAATTGTGCGGCTTGTTCTTATGCCGCCAGTGCACCTGTGACCAGTGCCATGGCTGGTCGGTGCAGTGGGCGGAGAGATGAAGGCCAGGGCAAGGGAAGGGGGTGTGACAGGGAGGCGGATGAGGTGGCGTGGGGAGTGAGTGAGGCAAAGCTGACCGGCTAACAGATGGGCTGGCACAAGCTCAGGAGGAAATGTTAAGAGGCAGGGGATATGGCTCCGATGCAGAACTGCCTATTGGCCTTGTGTACATTAGACTGTGTTGAGAGGCAAGTCCATTCTGCTCAAACTGTTGAGCCAATTCAGCAGCAGATTGGATGATGACATGGCGACTAGGATGATGGCGTATGGAGTTATGACATGGCAAATGAGATTATGACATGGCATATGGGATGATGACATGGCATATGGGATGATGACATGGCATGTGGGATGATGACATGGCATATGAGATGATGACATGGCATGTGGGATGATGACATGGCATATGAGATGATGACATGGCATATGGAATGATGACATGGCATATGGGATGATGACATGCATATGGGATGATAACATGCATATGGGATGATGACATGGCATATGGGATGATGACATGGCACATGGGATGATGACATGACACATGCTACTCCGCTCCACTCAACAAGCACAATGTTCTTCTCCCTCCTAACCCTCATCACCTACCTCTCTCCTCTTCCAACCTCACCAACACGGGAAGGTGCCAGCATGAGAGGTGCGAGCATGTGAGCCACTGCGTACCATGCCAGTTGTTATCTCAGTAGCAGGTGTGTCTCGCTCCCACAGGGCTGCCATGCTGTCGTCATCATGCTCCCACCCACTGGCGCGAATCAAATCAGATGGCAGCCACGTCAGACACGAGGGAGGGACATTAGCAGAGCAATGACAGGGAGTTTTGGGGGGCGAGCGGCACAGCAAGAGCAGGGAGATGAGAGAAAAGAGGGAGGGGAGGGAGGGGATGGAGGGGAGGGAGGGGAGGGAGGGAGGGAGGCGAGGGAGGGGAGGGAGGTGAGGGATGGGAGGGAGGGTATGGGGTGCATGGAAACAAGGGTCAAGCACTTCTGCAAGCACTTGCCGGGCGAGGTTGGTCATGGGTCTGAACTGAACGATGCTGGTCTGCCCTGACCTCTTCACCACCTCCTCACACATCCACTCCCACGCCCTCCGCTCCGCCCCCTTCTCTGCTGAACAACGGGCATGTCTGGGCGACCTGCTGCTGCTGCTATGCACTGGAAGCGAGAGGGAACGAGGGAAGGGGGGGGGAAGCGATGCTGAATCATAAGACACAAGGCATGGAAATGAAGGGGCCACAGATACCTAAACCACAGATGTTCCACAAACACACACATGAGAAACTTTTAGCGAAGAATGAGGATCCTTATAGAAGAGGAGGCACCCACCAGGCCTCCAATCGTTGCGTGTGACAGCTTCACAAATGACATAGTGGCGGAATGACGTGGCGATACCGAGCGCACGAATGGACGGGCATTTCAACGCTGTCAACTGGATTACGGAGGGGAGGGGAAGCGGAGAGGGGGGACGGGATGAGGAGAGGAGGGAGGGGAGGCGGAGAGGAGGGAGGGAAAAGAATCGAGGAGGAGGAAGGGAGGGGAAACGGATGAGGACAGGATGGCAAATGAAGATGAGAAGAGTCAACACGAAATCTTAAATCTTAACTCCGTGGACGATGAGAAAAAACCTACCGACCAGCGAAGAAGAAGGAGACGGAACGAAAAGACTCGCTGAGACGACAGAACCTCTGAAACCGCAGATGGCACTCGACATAAGGCATGCACGGGAGCTTCGCAGCCTCAGAAGGTGATTGAACGTTTCCTGTTCATCGTCGTGTATTTCGACGTGACATCATATACACCGTTATTGTGCATGAAGAGGACTGGCTTCAACATTCTCTATGACGAGCAGGAGTGAGTTAAAGCGGAAGCCAAATAGGCCTGCTCCCTGATCGATATCTATCACATCAGTGGGAGATAACGATTTACGACAATGCACTGACCCACCTTTGCCTGGAACCGCGCTTATTATTGCATCGATCGGAGCAGGCGCGCCTGGCGCGATGAGGTACTTGTGAGCATTTACAGCCGCATGTGGAGCGGAAAAGATGCAAACCCAGCGAGACAGATGAACACTCGTGAATCCGTTGGATGGTGCGGTGTCACGAATTGAATCCAGGATTTCGCATTTTGAGTTGACGAAGGATTGATCTGTCGCTCCTGTTACATCGATCAGTATTCGATCAGCAAACGATCCTAGGCTGGGTGCACCTGGATCATTTTGCTTTTGCAAAAGGATCTCGGCATGGTAGTCGAGGTAACACTCGCAACTCAACGACAGCACTGGCAGTGCCTCTTTCAAAAGTGAGTTCGCTCGACGCACGATCTCTACCGCGAGAAGAGCGAAATCGAGGCAGCGAAAACGAGGCATGAAATCAAGGGAACGAGAGGAACCTAGGCAGGGAAACCAAGGCACAGATCCACAAACTTAGTACTGGTACAGTACCTGCAAGCCTAGGCATAGCAGCAATTGCCTCAGATTCAGCCTCCATCATCCCTCTAGTTCACAACTCGCTCTAGCTAGCCATTCGCTCTAGTTTACCTTAGTTCGCAGCAACGTCCGAACGGCTATAGTTTCGCAATCGATTTAGTCTACCGTAGCTCGCCGGAATGTCTCAAGTTAATACAGATCAATCGTCCCCAACCCTGGTTTCGCGTCCCCGTAGATCCAGAGTGTCGTTTAATCAGCTACCGCGCGACCTCATCTGCCTCATCTTCCGTTGTCTGAACAAGCAGTCACCCAGCTACTTCAATCATGCGTTGGTCTCTAAACGATGGAATCGCCTCGCTTACCTTGCACAGACGTCCATCGCCAACAGTCCGCCTCGCCTTACTGCAGATGCTGACCTTCTTGAATCCCTTTCCCGGTTCAGACACCTAACTTCTCTCACGATCAACGAGTGCGTACTTGAAAATGACAATGACGAGTTCCTCTGGGACCTAGGGTCGGTCTGTCCAAGGTTGACTTATCTTGACCTGAAGAGCAGTTTTGATCAAGGGTTGACGTATGAAAGTGCGGATGCGCTCTTCACAACATGCACCGCTTTACAGTTCCTCTCTCTTAAGATGATGGGAGCTGACGATGGAGACACGTTTGAAATGCCACCATCCTTTTTCAACCTTTCATCCCTGACGGAGGTCAATCTGATGGTAAATTTATACCATCTTCCTGATAAATTCGACGGCCTAACTTCCCTGACCAAGCTGACACTCGCCGTTGTGTGGATTGATCAGCTCCCAGAATCACTCGGCCAGCTCATCAGCCTGACCGATCTGAACTTGTTTAGAAACCCTGGAGGGTTGAACCATCCACCTGACTCCCTCCGGAGCCTGAATTCATTGGTCAGGCTCAGCATTAGCGAAATGGACGGGCTGAGAACTCTTCCAGACACCATAGGCCAGCTTCCAAACCTCCAAGAGTTTTACGCTCATGACAACAGTTGTGTACAACTTCCGGATGCCTTTTTTAGTATGTCTTCACTACAAGTTCTTGAGCTGGTGTACTGTGGAGATATCGTATCCCTTCCAAGCGCGGTATCAAGCCTCCTTTCTCTTAAGATGCTAACCATCAGAAGTTGCGGGGGTCTTTTTTCGATTTCTGAATCCCTCTGCACTCTTTCTAACCTCCGCGTGTTGGTCCTCAAGAATTGCTCACAGCTGAGGGACCTTCCACAGAGGATGGATCGCCTGTCGTCGCTGGAGCAACTGGAGCTGTGCCAACTAAGTAGCCTGACTCACCTTCCAGATACCATTTCCAGGCTGACCAATCTCCGCACCTTCTCCTTCACCTACTGCGATGGTATTGTCAATGTCCCTCTATCCCTGACCCGGCATTGGAGCAGCCTCACGTCTCTTGAGTTTAGTTGGCCAGCCAGCTGCAGGGGCAGCAGCACCAAGGATAAAGAAGTCTTCTTGGCGTCCCTTTGCCAGCTACCGAATCTGTTAACGCTCCTTCTGGTTGGCTTTCCCGACCTCAATTCGCTTCCAGACGATATTGGAAAGCTTTCACAGCTGCAGCGATTGACCTTAAGCGCCTGGCCTAACCTGGTGTGCTTGCCCGAGTCCATGAGCAGTCTCATCAGCCTCAGGACTCTCGTGATCACTGCATGCCCAAGCTTTGTGGATGAAGAGAAAGAGCCAATCTACACGATTCCAAACCTGGACAGTGGATTTGTTGATGGCAGACTGCTGGGAAAAGTATCATCTGGGCGGGAGTAATGAGTGGGTAGGGTGGAGAAGGGTGCTAGGATGTCATGATGGGTACTGGACATCATGGTATTGGACATTTGTTTAATGCCATGATGATTACGGTATTGGGTTCTGGAAGGAGGTTAAAAATTATATGTGATTTTCAATGGTGACCTTGACATCAGTGGTGTGGGGCAGTAAGCTCTCGACATGGTGTCAACATGATTTTTACTCAAATTGCACATGAGTGCTACGGTATTGTATTAAACAAACAAAGTCTGAACTCCAAAGCAAGCAACCACAGCTACCATGCCAAAACAACCATTCGAGTTTGTGCAATAGTGATACCACCACCGCTCCTCCCACTTCTGGCACTCGCGCGTATAGCTGCACCTTCTGTGGTGGGTAAATACCGAGCACTTCCAATGGGGACACTGGCTGCTATTCCCGGTGTGCCAGGCCACCTGGCCATGGCAGGCATGTTTCAACGCATTCTCCGAACTCTGACTCAACTCGTGAGTGCATAGAAGGTACCGCGACTGCGGCTGCCTACCAGGCCCCATTACGCACGAGGGGAACTGGAAGGTCTGTGGCAGGCAGCGCTGCCTGCACCTGCTTCCATGCTGCTACATCCATGAGCTGACTGCCCTCACAAGCAGCTCACACGCTGCAAGGACCCACAGGCTGCTGCCCGCCTCGCCTTTGCCTTGTATCACCCAATGGCATGGTGTTCTTGTGCCGCCAGTGCATCTGTGACCACGTGCAATGGCTGGTCGGTGCAGTGGGCGGAGAGGTGAAGGCAAGGGTAAGGGAAGGAGGTGTGACAGGGAGGCGGATGAGGTGTCGTGGGGAGTGAGTGAGGCAAAGCTGACCAGCCAACAGATGGGCTGCCACTAGCACCGGGGAACATGTTGCAAGGCAGAGGAAATGAAGCACCTGGCGAATCCAAGAAGTGCTTGGGCTGAAGCATCTGCCTGCCTTGGTCCTAGAATGCTGATGCTGAGGGTGATGGGGAAGCAATGAAGAGGAAATTGATTCGAGAGGAGTGTAGAGCAAACGGGATGATAACATCGTGCCTCCAAGTAATGTTATGCCACATGGAGTGATGATTTGGCATCTGTCATTGTGACACGGAATATACGTTGATGACTGGACACGTGGGATGATGACATGGCACATGCTACTTGACCCCACTCAATAAACACAATCGTGGAACTGCTTCTTCACCTACCTCTCTCCTTTCCCAACCTCGCCAACACAGGAAGGTGCGAGCATGGGAGGTGAGAGCATGGGAGGTGCGAGCATGGGAGGTGCGAGCATGGGAGGTGCGAGCATGGGAGGTGCGAGCATGGGAGGTGCTAGCATGTGAGCCAATGCATACCATGCCACGTCTGCCATCCATCCACTGCCTCCACTTTATGGAATTAACCTTGCCCATGCCTGGTTTAAAAAAAAAAAAGATTCGACGGGAGGAAAGCATGGCGAGAAGGGTTTGAGGGGAAGGGGAAGGAGAAAAAGGAGATGGGTACGAGGTGAGAGGGTTATGGAATGAGCGCAAATGCATCATCTATGCTCGCTTCTCCTGGCAAACAAGCTGCTGCTTCAAATGACGTCATATTGCCATCTCCTTAGCACTTTACCACTCTCAAACTTGCACTGTTATTTACTCATGCTCATGTCCTCGTTTCCGCATTCCTACTGCCATGCGTGCAACAATCATCATGCTCCCACCCACTGGCGCCATTCAAATGAAAGAAAACTCGAGACCAGCGAGGGGCACTGGGAGAGCAGCACAGCAAGGGTTGGGAGGTGAGGGAGGGGAGGGAGGGGAGGGAGGGGATGGAGGAGAGGGAGGGGAGGGAGGGGATGGAGGAGAGGGAGGGGAGGGAGGGGATGGAGGAGAGGGAGGGGAGGGAGGGGAGGGAGGGGAGGGAGGGGAGGGAGGGGAGGGAGGATATGGGATGCATGCACACAAGGGGCAAGGAGTCAAGCACTCACCTGGGCGAGGTTGGTCATGGTCCCTCCCAGCTGCTGCACCGTGCTGATCTGCCCTGGTCTGAACTCCGGCCGTGCCTTGGCGACCTGCTGCTATGCACTGGGCGAGAAAGGGGGAAGCGAGATGGGAGGGCAGGAAGAGGGGGAGGGGAGGGGGAAGAAAGAGGGGTGGGAGAGACGGGGGACAGGGGAAATAAGTGTTGCGAATGAAATGCAGGCAGGGAACGAATCAGAGGGTAGGATAAGAGCGATTAGAGTTGGATTTCTTTCTGACTCAACCAAATCGCAGATCGCGCACTGATGGTAATAGGTAGGTTGAAGTGAGATGGGCAATTTAACAGTAATAATGTCTGTGCCCAGAGTATACCGAATATGACAAACACTTCCAAAATTAGAGCCACAAACACTTTCAACTACAGAGGTTCCACATTCAAACACAATAAAAGCTTCCAACCAAGGATGGAAGATGCTTAAGGCGAACACACAGTATACCCACCAGGCCTCAAGCATTGCGTGTGGCAGCTTCACACGTCACACAGTGGCTGAATGACGTGGCAATACCGAGCACACGAATGGACGGGTACTTCAAAGCGGCGAGAATGGCCAAAGCGTCGTCTGGATGGCGGATGGGAGGGGACGAGGAGAGGAGGGAGGGGAAGAGGAGAGGATGGGAGGGGAAGCGGAGAAGAGGGAGCAGAGGAGGAGTGGAGGGAGAGAGAGGAAGGGGAGAGGATGATAAATGCAGACGAGTCAAGGCAGAGAAGGTCGAGGAACGAGGTTGTCAAAATCTCACTCGGAACCCTAACCGAAACGCCTTACTAAAAGTCGTTTAGAGATAACCTACTGGAGGCGCCAGCAACGCGCTGTGAACACGAATCTTTCGAGTCGTCGATTTGGCGTTCAATTTACGGAAGAAGAGATTGCGACCTTAGAAGGTTATTGAGCGGCGAATGGTGATATTTCTTCTTCATCACCGTGAATTTGAGCTGACTCAAAATCCACCATAATAGTGCACTAAGACGACCGTGGCTTGATTCGCTATGAAGTGTGGCTTGATCCACCATAGATGAATTTTGCGAAAGCGAAGTAGTCCTGCTCTACGTGATAGGTAGCAACCACATTCGTGGGTGATCGCCATTCACGAGAACCTGCATTGACCCACCAATGGCTGGAGACGCTTTATGATAAGGGCGCGTGTGTTCTTGCCGAGCCTGACTGAAAGTTCGATAATTTATAACGGTTTGTCACGGTAGAATACATTTAAAAACGTTTTGCCACGGTGCAAAACGGTTTGAGTTCGAACTTTTTTCAGGTTCGGCAAGAACACACGCGCCCTAAACGTCGATCGGAGCAGGCGCGTCTGGCGCCATGAGGCTATTTCTGAGCACTGCCATGACTATCGCAGCGGAAGGTGCTGGGCGGGGAAAGAAGCAGACCCTGAGGGAGTATCTACCAATTCCGCTTGACGAAAAAGGCGGTAAAGTCGATCCCAACCCAACATCATATGACGAGATCTTGAATCCCGTCATTGAAGTTACCAAGTTCAGCTGTGCACCTCGATCAATACGGACGCGAGCTGAACCTGAACCAGTTTGTGTTCGCGAGAATCTTTCGTTACTCCCAACGCTTGGAGCGAAACGGTAACATAATTCCAGTTTGATTTCGCTGGACCACCAAAAGGTTTCCTTCCCGCCCAAGCCAAGCAGGAAAACTGAAGCAACACAATGCAGAGATCCGAATCCCCAAGCCATTGTTGCTTCAAAGCTGAGCTGAGCCGACGCCATCCACGTAGAGAGAAGTTCCTTTCAGATCCAGCCTAAACGTGTCCATCGCTCTACTTACCCTGGTCTGCTGTAATCTCCCATTCAATTTAGTTGACTAGATTACGCAGAACGCACAACAATGTCCCGGGTTGAAAGAGATCCATCGTCCCCAACCCTAGCCTCGCGTCGCCTTAGAGTCGAGTTGTTTAGTCGGTTGCCGGACGACCTCATCTGCCTTTCTTCCGTTGCCTGAACAAGCGGTCACCCAGCAACTTCAATCACGCGTTGGTCTGTAAACGATGGAACCGCCTCGCTTACCTTGCACAGACGTCTATCGCCAACAGGTCGCGTAGCCTTACTGCTAACGCTGCTTTTCTGACTAACCTCTCTCGGTTCAAACGCCTGACTTTTCTCACGATTACCAAGTGCGTTCTAGGTCCAAATGGCAAGTTCCTCCATGGCCTAGGATCTGCCTGTCCCAAGTTGACCCATCTGGACTTGAAAAACTGTGGTTTGAGAAAAGGGATCACGTATGAAGGTGCGGATACCCTCTTTAGGACATGCACCGCATTACAGTACCTCTCGCTTCAAATGATGATAGTTGACGACGGCGAAGGCACTCGGGATATGCCACCATCCTTTTTCGACCTTTCATCCTTGACGGAGGTCCATCTTTACGTCAACTTCAAGCGATTTCCTGATAGATTTGGCGACCTAAGCTCTCTGACCAAGCTGACCATCGCCGATACGTCGAGTGACCACCTTCCAAAATCCCTCGGCCAGCTCGCCAGGCTGACCCAGTTGCAATTGGAAAATCATGGATCGCTGGACCGTTTGCCCGACTCCTTTGGTAGCCTGAAGTCATTGGTCAGGCTTCGCATTAGTGAATTGAACGGGTTGAGAACTCTACCGGACACCATCAGCCAGCTTCAGAACCTCCAAGCGCTCCACTTACATAACAATATGGATTTAACACTGTCGGATTCCTTTTTCCATCTTGCTTCTTTACGAGTTCTTGAAATCGTTTGTTGTGATAGTTTCGACTCCCTTCCAAGCGCGGTGTCAGGCCTCGTTTCTCTTAAGACGCTAAGCATCAGAAGTTGCATTCTTTTCTCTTCGATCTCCGACTCCCTCTGCAGTCTTTCTAACCTCCGCGTGTTGGTCGTTAGGAATTGCAGAAAGCTCATGGACCTTCCACAGAGCATGGATCGCATGTCATCTCTTGAGCATCTTGAGCTGAGCCAGCTCGAAAGCCTTACTCACCTTCCAGATACCATCTCCAACCTCTCCAATCTCCGCACCTTCTCTTTCAACTACTGCGACAGCATTGAGAGAGTCTCTTCCTCCCTGCCTCAGCATTGGAGCAGCCTCACGTCTCTTGAGTTTGGTTGGCCAGCCAGCTGCGTTCTCGGCAAGGAGGATCAACTAGCCTTCATGTCGACTATTTGTCAGCTCTCGAATCTGTCGACGCTCCTGCTTTCTGGCCTCCGCGACCTCACTCGGCTTCCACATGAGATGAAGAATCTCTCAAAGCTGCAGCGGCTGACTTTAACTTCATGGCCTAACTTAGCGTGCTTGCCCGATTCCATGACCAGTCTCACCAGCCTCAGGAATCTCGTGATCACTGCATGCCCATGATTTGAGGATGACGAGGATCAGATAATCCTTCACATTCCAAACCTGGAGAGCGGATGTGTTGACGGTAGACTGTTGGGAAATGTATCAATTGGGGGAAAGGGGTGAATGGATGGGATAGGGTGGGGTGCTCATGTGTTTGAATATGCTAGAGATTTTACCTAATTTTAGATAAGCTTGCACAGGATTAGGAGGTGGTCTTGATTGATGATACCAGTAGTGGGAAGTACAAAGTCACTGCTATGGTTCCACCTTTACACTGTTGTATGGTAATTTGTGCATATGGTGTTCACTCTAGCATGCTTGTTTTGCAGCTTGACTTCAAAGAATCTCAAAGTCGAAACACGGCAATCTTGCTGCCAACAAGTCCACCGACTTGGTGCGGCCACACCTGCCATCACTGCACTGCACCCGCTCACAAGATAGGCGATCCTTGCACATTTATTTGGCACTTTCGCCTCGCAAGACTGCAGCGCATGACGTCTATGCTCGTTCGCATTCCTGTCTCTAGATCTGCAGCTCAATGAGAGGGAGACCTCTGGCAGACTGGCAGTCTGCCAGGCGCCCATCTTGCAGGAGTGGAGTTGGAAGCCCTGTGGCTGCACGAGCTGCCATACTGCGGCGTCTGTGCCGGCTGTTTTCATGAGCAGACCATCATCCCATGCGTGCCTTCTCCTTGTGCCACTGCCCCTGTGTCACGAGATGCCGTGCCTTGCATATTCCCCAGTGGGCCTGCAGCGCTGGTTTATTGGGGCAGGGCAGAGAGCGCAAGGGAGTGACGAAGGGAAAGGGTGTGAGACGGAATGTGATGTGTTGGATGGGGATTGAGAAAGGTGAAACGGGACTGAAGACATGGCACATGGAATATGATGCAAGACTGATTGGTGATCATGGTGCTGAAGCGTAAGGAGGGGGAGCGTGGGGAGAACGGGTAAGGGAGAGGAAAAGGAATGGAGGCATGTAGCTGGATGTTTGCGACAAGGAGTCGTTGTGACTGATTCTGGTGATGGTCATGAAAGGGTAAAAAGAAACGGATGGATGAAGTGGAGGCTTGGATGAACAGTAAAAGGTTTGGGGAAGAAAGCTCGGGGCAAAAGAAAAAAGATGAGATGTTGAGGGTAAGAACACTTACAGCAGGTGATGCTACGAGAGGGATGAGGGAGTGGAGGTCGGGAGTGGTAGAGTGAAGCATGTGGTGAGTCCTGCCATTGTCTGAGAAAGCTGACACTGAGGGGGATTGGCCAGCAAGGAAGGAATTGAGGGAGTTGAGAGAATTACACAGCAAATGGGATGATGACATGGCATATGGACTGATGATACGGCATCTGGATGATGACATAGCATAAAAGGAAGATTGGACACATGGGAGGATGACATGGCATATGAGATAATGACATGGCACATGCTACCTCGGCTCCACTCAATAAACACAATGTTCTTCTCCCTCCTTCCGTCATGAAACCACCTCTTCACCCACCCACCCCTCACCTCCTTGCATCACCCACCCCTCACCTCCTTGCATCACCTAGCACTCTCGTCTCCCAACCTCACCAACACAGGAAGGTGCGAGCATGGGAGGTGCATGCGAGCATGTGAGCCGATGCATACCATCCCATGTCATCTGGAGTTTTAGTAGCATGTGTGTCAAGACCCTCTGACCAGGCTGGAAGGAATGAGACTGGGGGCAGGTCACAGGTCACCAACGCCGGCAAGACCCATCCATCCTACCCATCCGAGGTTCTGGTCAGACCCATCCATCCACTGCCTCCACCACATGAAATCCGCCTTCTCCTTGCCCACGCCTGGTTTTTGAACAAGGAGATTCAACTGGAGAAAAGCATGGCAACGAAGGGGAAGGGGAAGAAAGGGGGGAGAGGAAGGATGGGTGAGAGGGGAAAGCGTTATGGGACAAACATGCAGCTGCTTCAACTAATTTGTGTATAGCCATCCCCTTGACGCTTTACCCCACTCATTCTCTCAGTGATAATTGGTCTGCTCATGTTGTCACTTCGGCATTAACACTGCCATGCTACCTTGGATACTAGGGATGGACACTGCGGCAAAGGAAAGGAGGTGAGGGAAGCGAGGGAGTGAAGGGAGGGAGGATATAAATTGCATGGAAACAAGGGGCAAGGAGACAAGGGGCAAGGAGTCAAGGGGCAAGGAGTCAAGGGGCAAGGAGTCAAGGGGCAAGGAGTCAAGGGGCAAGGAGTCAAGGGGCAAGGAGTCAAGGGGCAAGGAGTCAAGGGGCAAGGAGTCAAGGGGCAAGGAGTCAAGGGGCAAGGAGTCAAGGGGCAAGGAGTCAAGGGGCAAGGAGTCAAGGGGCAAGGAGTCAAGGGGCAAGGAGTCAAGGGGCAAGGAGTCAAGGGGCAAGGAGTCAAGGGGCAAGGAGTCAAGGGGCAAGGAGTCAAGGGGCAAGGAGTCAAGGGGCAAGGAGTCAAGGGGCAAGGAGTCAAGCACTCCTGCAAGCACTCACCTGGGCGAGCTTGGTCATGGCCCTCCCAGCTGCACCATGCTGATCTGCCCTACGCGCTTGCCTGCTTCCCCTGTCCTGCGTACTTCCATCCCCACATCTAGCAGCAGCAATATGAATGGCAACTAAGGTGTCAGTGACGCCAGAGACGCCAGTGGCGGGGTCAGGACGTGGTAGTGCGGGAGGTGCAGGCAGCTGCATTACCGCCACCCGCCTGGGCCCACAAACAAGGAGCACGCGGGCAGAGAGAATTCCTGGTGTTGACAGGCTTGGAGCGCAGAGCTGGAAACACAGGAGGGTAGGAGGGAAGATGAGAGAGCACATGGGGGGAGAGAGACTGATAGTGTAGGCGATCGGAGGAGGGAGAGCTGGGTGCAAGAAAGCGGAGATTCGGTAGGTAGAGGGGAAGAGAAGGGAAGGCGCAAGAGAGAAGATTTAACAAAGAAGTGGCCATACTGTTGATGCGGTTGAGAGCGGTGCTGTGGCGCCCTGAACTGAACAACAGGCGTGTCTGGGCGTCCTGCTGCTGCACTGGGAGAGAGTGGAAACGGAAGAAGGGAAGAAGCGGGATGAGGAAGGGGGAAGGAGGGTGGGAAGATGCGGGATGAGGAGGGGGGTATAGGGTAGTGGAGGTGGGGAGAGGGGAGGGGAGAAAATAGGGGGAAAATAGGGGGAACAGGGGGGACATAGGGGACAATGTTGTGAAGAGATGCAGGAAGGGAATGAAGCTGTGGGTAGGATGAGAGCAAGCAAAAGGCGATTGCTCTGGTGTGAGATATTCTATTATTTTGGCATAGCTAATAATCTAATTAAAAGAGATATATTACATGTAATTGACAAAATTATCATTATTACAAAAAACTATGATAATGGTAGAAGTTTCCGGAAATTCTAGAGGTCCAAAAAAGCACAAGAGGCACGAGGCACGATGAATCCACCTGGCAGCTTCACACGTCACATAGTGTTGAATGACGTGGCGATACCGAGCACACGAATGGACGGGTTCAAAGCAGCGCGGACGGCCAAAGAGTCGTCTGGATGGGCGGACGGGAAAGGAGAGGAGGGAGGGGCAAGTCTTACGATACCAAACTGATGAGACAATATGTGAGGCGCTTGAAAAATAATCGAATGACTCTGAGCGAAGACAGGCAACCAGCGAGGCCAACGCACGTCAAATCTGTGAAAGAAGACTGCTAATAGCTAACTCGGAATCTGAACTCTGATGTTGATGCGTTGGGAAAAATCCTAGTGGAGGTTTCGCGAGGGGAAGAGAAAGACGGAGGAAATGCTCGCTGTGACCACAGAATGTTCCGAGGGTGCAAACGTGGCGCTCGACATACGGGAAGAGGAAGGGACTCGCGGAAGCTCAGAAGGTGACTTGCGCGGCGAATGATGGTTCGCGTGCTTCATCACCGTGAATTATGAGCTGACTAGAAAGTCCTTATGACGCGTTGCGGCGAGTTGAAGCGGAAGTGGCCTGCGGAAGCGGAAACGGAAACGTAGTCTGTAGGTAACCATAGGTGATCACGATTCACGACACTTGGACTGAGAAGCGTTATGTAAACGTCGATCGGAGCTGGCGCGTCTGGATCCATGTGCTACTTGGAATGTGAGCTTAGAAAGTCGCAGCTGAAAGGTGCTTCAAAGCAGAAAAGTGGATTGGAAAGAGCCGTTGATAACAACTATCTTGTTCGATTGAAGGAAATGTTGGGGTTGAATCTAGGTCTAGTGTCAGCGGTGTGAGGGAGGCGAATGAAAACTCGGCGAAGAGTTGTTTCCTGCAAATTTGTTACCGAGACTCGTTCGGTCCGTACGCGAAAGGGCTTGGGGCGAATCTGTTTCTTCGAAATGCTGTCGGCACCGTCGACCATGAAACTCAACGAACGAAACGGTAACACGAGGCGAGTGAACTTGCTGAGCCACGTGGGTTCCTCCACAACGGATTGAGCCGAATTTCAGCGACGTGATAGCGAAACCACGGCAGAAGAACTGAACCCGAGATCCAGAATCCACCATGTTCAGGCTGCATGAGGCACGAGAGTTGCCATCACAAGTCAATCAAGCTCCCTCCAGCCAGATCCAGCCTTCACCGCCATTGCTTTTCCTTACCACACTTGCACTAGTTTCCCAATCGCTCTGTAGTTTATCATAGTTCGCAGGACCGTGCGATCAGCTCTAGATTCTTAACCGTCTAGCTTACCATAGTTCGCTGAAACGCGCGAACAATGTCTCAAGTTGGAACAGATCCATCGTCCCGAGCCCTGGTGTCGCATCCCCGTAGACTCAAGTTGCAAGCATCATCCAATCAACTGCTGGACGACCTCATCTGCCGCATCTTCCGTTGTCTGAACAAGCAGTCACCCAGCTACTTCAATCACGCGTTGGTCTGTAAACGTTGGAATCGCGTCGCTTACCTTGCGCAGACGTCCATCACCAATAGAAGGCCTCGTCTTACTGTAGACACTGACCTTCTGGTCGCTCTTTCCCGATTCAAACGTCTGACTTCTCTCACGATCAACGAGTGCGTTCTAGATCCAGATAATGACGAGTTTTTTTACTACCTAGGACCTGTCTGTCCCGGGTTAACTTATCTTGACCTGCACACCATTTGTGATGAAGGGTTGACGTATGAAGGTGCAGATGCCCTTTTCACAGCGTGCACCTCGTTGCAGTACCTCTCCCTTATCATCACGACAGCCGAGTACGAAGACTCTTGTGAGATGCCACCATCCTTCTTCAACCTTTCATCCCTGACGGAAGTCTATCTGAACGTCAATTTCAACAACTACCCTGATAGATTCGACACTTTAACTTCCCTTACCAAGCTGACACTCGCCACTGTGTGGATTGACCACCTCCCAGAATCACTCGGCCAGCTCACCAGCCTGACCGAGCTGAAGGTGTTCAGAAATGACGGACCGATCGTCCGTCTACCTGCCTCCCTTGGTGGGCTAAAGTCATTGGTCAAGCTCACCATTTGTGAAATGAACACTTTGAGAGCTCTTCCTGATACCATTGGCCAGCTTCCGAACCTCCAAGAGGTTTACTTTCATGACAATATGGGCCTAGAACTCCCGGATTCCTTTTTCCATCTCGCTTCTCTTCGAGTTCTTGAGATCGTGTATTGTGAAAGGGTTGCATCCCTTCCAGCAACGGTGTCAGGCCTCGTTTCTCTCAAGACGTTGAAAATTAGGAATTGCGATAGGCTCCACACGATATCTGATTCTTTCTGCAATCTTTCTAACCTCCACGTGCTGGTCCTTAAGAATTGCAGACAGCTTAGGGACCTTCCACAGGCGATGGATCGTCTATCGTCGCTGGAGCATCTCGAGCTGAGCCAGCTCCAAGGACTTTCCTATCTTCCAGATACCATTTCCAGGCTGTCAAATCTCCGCACCTTCTCCTTCACCTACTGCGATGGCGTTGTCAATCTCTCTGCATTCCAGACCCCGCATTGGAGCAAGCTGACGTCCTTTGAGTTTAGTTGGCCAGCCAGCTGTATGGGTAGTTCGGAGGATCAAGAGGCCTTCACAGCGTCCCTTTGCCATCTCTCAAATCTGACGTCACTTCTTCTGTTTGGTTTTCCAGACCTGATAGAGCCTTCTCACGAAATTGAGAAGCTTTCACGACTGCAGCGGCTGACTTTGAGTAACTGCGGTAACCTGATATGCTTGCCTGAGTCCATGAGCAGTCTCACCAGCCTCAGGACTCTCGCGATCACCGCATGTCCGTGCTTTGAGGATGAGGAAAGCGAGACAATCTACAAGATTCCGAACCTGGACAGCGGATGTGTTGATGGTAGGCTGCTGGGGAAAGGATCATTTAGAGGAAAAGAGTAACTGGATGGGGTGGGGAAGGTTGCTAGAATGTTTGGACATGCCAGATGTTCCTCCTAGGTGAGTGCAGTTATGGTTGCTGGGTTTTGTCCATTATGTTTGTAAATCATGTCTGGTTGAATATTCGCACAATGATTTAAAACTCCTATATTTTATAACTTACTATGATAGTAGTATTACAGGGAGAACATAGTGTAACTGTATATTCGTGAAGTGGTTTCACCAACACTTGTTTATCATGACACACGGAACTTTTAGTGGAATGAAAGTAGTTGTTTGAAATTAGTGTAGATATCATATCTGATTGTAAGGATTTTCGACCATTATATTTTTGTAACGAAACCTACATAATGAACCATTTTCCAGCCTTGTCATCTTCCATTCACCCTCGACCTTGACCTCCCCAGTTGATCGCGACTCGCCATGAATCACCATTACATAATGAGAGAACCCTAGATTCCGGCTACCCAAGCTGAGAATGGTTGCTGCAGCGGGTTGGAGCTTAGGTCTAGAATCTAGGTTTCGCTATGTCGCCATGCCTTGCAGTTACTCCTTTGGGATGGGTCAGAATTGCGCAGCCGCTGACGTGGAACAGCTTAATCGTGTCAATGTGAGGAAGAAAGTGTTTCTTCCACCCTGAACCATGGACCACATTCGATTTCCTCAACTAGTTGCCCATGCAAGCCATCGTCACCATAGACCGCATCGAATTTAGTTTTTTCGTTCCCGTGCTGAATCTCTAACCTGGAACGACAGAGAAAACGTTTCTCAGGCCGGATCAGGCATGAAATTCGGGATCCTCTTGTTTCCAGGCTTCAGCGGACCTCCTGCTTCCAAAGTTGAGCACACCCATTGTTTCCGAGTTTCAGGCTTTCGTCCTGATTTCGTCCTTCCAGCCTCTCACCACTCCGCCATACCGCCTTTCTCACCTCCTTAGGTTCTTCTCTTACTCGCGAGTGCATCCCCGTAGTGTGAGCCATGTCTTCTTTAGAGAGAGACCAGTCGCCATCAACCGTCGCATCGCCTTGCCTGAATAGTTCCGCGTGGTCGTCGTTGTTCGATCATCTGTCGGATGACCTCCTCTGCATCGTCTTCCGCTTGTTGAGCCAACAGTCGCCTAGCAGCTTCAACCACGCCTTGGTCTGCAAGCGCTGGTGTCGCCTCGCGTATCTTTCCCAAACGTCGATCTACATGCGTCCTAGTGGGGCTGACGTGATTCAAGAATACGACGACATTCCTGCTAACGTGATTCTAGCAGACACCGACCTTCTTAGATCCTTGTCGAAGTTTCCGAATTTGACGTCTCTAACAATAATCAGATGCTGGATCGATGACGAGTGCAAGTTTCTCCTCGGCCTCGGATCTGCATGTCCCAACTTGACTCGTCTTGACCTCAGAAACCCTCATGACGCTGTTCTATTTCGAAATGGCATGGATGCAGTATTCACTGCTTTCACTGGATTACAATATCTTTCGCTGGCAGTTTGTACCTGTGACCATGATCTCCCACCATCCTTCTTCCGTCTGTCTTCCCTAACGGAGGTTTTTTTGCAAGTCGACTTCACAAGCCTTCCAAATAAATTTGGCAAGCTGAGATGCTTGAAAAAGTTGACGTTTGACGAGCTTCAGTTCCCCGTGCTCCCACAATCGTTTGGCCTTCTCACCGGACTGACCGAGCTGCAACTTTCGCGCTGC